CAATCCCTTTAAGCTTCGCTTGATAATCACACATGCACTTATAAATCAAAATGAGGACAATTTCATGCTAAATGTATATGTAGTAATCCTTATAGAAAGTTGCTGACTTATATAAATTCTTAAAAATATCATACAAGTTGTGTGAGGTAATATGGTTTTGATTTTCCCTTACTGATTGACCTCGGTGCAATACCCTTGCAACTAGTTCACAGAACTCCCACAAAATAATTACATAGCAAGCGTTGACCGCCACTCTCGTTGTTATCGAATGGCTAAAATCGAATTTAATTACTTCCACCCACTAACAACTTCCGAGGCACACTTCGTGCGGAAGCCTTGGCCATAATAATAAGCCCAGCCACTGCACACGCCACCTATATGGAAATATACACTGGGTATATGGACAAACTGGAGTTTGATTGTCAATCATTGTCAATCAGCCGCCGAACAAACAGTGGCCACCCAGCATGAGAAGCAAACGTATGTGACACTGAGTCTTCGAGAGATCGTTGGAAAACCTTTAAAGTTCAATCAACTAGACAGACACAAGAGACTTAATCACCTGTTTTGTGCTAAGTGGGTTGGAGGGCTTATAAACCGATACCGATCAGCTATCATATTTTATCAAGCCCGCTGAAAGGCAAAAAGGAAGTGGAAACAAGCCGAGTCACAACAAAAAGCGAAAATTGAATCAAATTATACATGTTTAATACACAAAATCCAGCCCGATCCAAATACGAGACTGAATCTAAATCGTAGCTCGTGGCTTGTGGCTCGAGGTTAGCCTTGCCCATGGCATACAAAGCAGAAAATTGATTTTGGCTTATTTTTTAGGTCTCTCCTCAGGTTCAAAACTATTAGCGCCCGCATGCAAAAAAAAAAAGAGTAAGCCAAGTCCAATAGAGCAATCAAAATTGGAACAATGCAATAACGTAAAACAAATAAGCTTCGAGAAATGCCTTATGGCATGTATTTTAAATATACCTATGACATTATGAAACTATAATTTTGAATAAATCATAAATTATAAAGGATAATTTATAGCATTGCATTCTAGAATAAGTTGTCTAAAATCTGTTTATCACTGATCATTCAAGCCTCCCTAAAAGTTGTGTTAAATTGTCTACAACTGGTCAGCTGTCATTAGCCGAACAATGTGTCTTACAACTATGTTCCGCACTGTAGTTGCTGTTGTCAGCAATGTTGTTTCTGCCGTTGTCGTGCGTTGCTTTTTTGACAGTTAACTCTCTACTGGTTTTGATATTTACGTCTACCGAACGGGGGCCACTTGAAATTTGATTATGATCGATTTTGGCAAAAAAGAAGTAAAAAATAGAAAATAAAAAAGCAACAAAAGCACGGGCAATCGTTATTTAATGCGAATTCAGCCTCGGGGCAGAGTTAATGTTTTAATTAGCACAACTTGGGCAATCTGAGGTCGCTTGTTGGGGGCACAGCAACAAATTGCCACATGCCACGCCCATCCAAGCGTATCCAAACTGGGCTGTGGGTGGGAAATCGGTTATACACGTACGTACGTAACCATAATTTGTATTATAAATATACACCACATGAAAAGCGCATTCATTTGCTTCATTCACACAACTGCTCATTGCCCCAAGCATTGGCAACTCCGACAGATGTATGGAAACCCCGTCCCTCGCAACCGTTGTTGAGCTACTGTCATTGTCAGACAATCGTTAGTTAGTTAGTTCTTGAACTCGGCTTTTGAACTGGCTCTCAAACTTCGTAGCTAATCGCGAGCTACTCGTTTCGCGTTGGGGTCTTGACATGAGGAAGCCATTTGGTCACCGCATGGAATTGTAATGACTGTAATTAGTCGAAACCAAAATGTGTTTGCTCGCGGGAGAGACAGCACTCCAAATGCATATGGGTAATAGGCAATTCTAAGGCAGAACCGCAATATATCACACAATACGTTTATTCAAAATTGAATTTTTACACGCATGTAAATGAACGAAACTTATTTAATTATAGGTTACGAAAACAGGCTATACAATTATAGCTTCAATAAACTGTCTATATGATCCTCTAAAATGGTAGTACTGGGATATAACTTTATTACAAACAAAACAATTGAATAATTTATTAAGCACTAAGAGCAAAAAAGAGAATTTTCTGGGGAGCCTCAAACTCGGGTAACCATTTATAGACAGAAACGTGCATACTCAAAGATCCTTGAATTACTCACATTCCGAGAATCTGATAGTCACCTTTGTTCTGTCAATCTGAACATTTGTATACATTTATTATATATGTATATATATATATGTAACTGCACATGCGCAGCATACACACCAACATGGGCAATTATCTACTACTTGTCAATCGATTGAAACAAAAGACTTGAACAAAAAACTCGTTTCCCTTGCGGTACTTTATTTTACCCGACTCTCAGACTAAAAGGGTATACTAGTTCGATGTTGTAGAAATTCAAAAAAATTAAAAAATGCCCCAAGGCTGAAGTTCTATACTCCATAACTCAACTTATCCTCATCGGATTTTGAAGGGGCATACCTCTAAATGTTTCTGGTGCAATTCTCGGTAAAACTGCATTCAAATTTAGAAATTTATTTTTTTTTAATTTTTTTGTAATTTTTTTGATGTGATGTGTAGATATCAAAAAAGTTACAAAATGTCCCAAGGCTGAAGTTCTAAACTCCATAACTCAGCATATCTGAATCGGATTTTGAAGTGGCATACCTCTAAATGTTTCTGGTGCAATTATCTAAAATTCTGCATTCAAATTTAAAAAAAAAAATTCAAAGAAATTAGTAAATGTCCCAAGGCTGAATTTCTATACTCCATTTTTATTTCCCCAATTTCTACCGATATTCCAGAAAATTTTGAAATTTCCCGTTAGCACCTCCACGTAATAACGGGTATCTGATAGTCGGGGAGCTCGACTATAGCTTTCCATCTTGTTTTTTCTCTTTTCGCCACATTCTCAGACTACCTCTTTCACTCAGCTACACCTTGCGTGCGTATAAATAAATTCAATAAATATTTTCTCAATTTAGCTAATTGCAATTAATTTCATTGGTCGTTTCACCTTCATTGTTTGCACTATTGCAACTCCCATGTTCTTGGCCATATTACATATATGTATGAACAAATGTAAACCATTTGCAATTATTCAATTAAACACGACATGACTACAACTGGATAGCACTGGCATTGTTTTAGTTTCAGCGCAATTTCCATTCAATAATTATGTGATCTAGTGCCGCCGGTTTTCGGTCTCGGAGAAAACAATCCAAAAATGTTATGGCCACAAAGCATCAAGATCAATCCAATCATGAGCTATTGTTTTTGGGGGGGTTGGTAAGGGCCGAGATGGATATTTTCCGAGTGCGTGTTTCTTGATCTTGATTAGCTGGCCATTTAATAATGTTAATGGCTTCCAGCAACAGCAACACTTCATACAACAGAAACCAATCATCAAGGTCGCGGATGAGTTGGCTATTGTAAATATTTACATACATAGCTCGCGGCCCTCCTTCGTGGCTCCCCAAGGTCGAAATGTGGCAGAGGAGTTTATTCGATCGCTGTGGGTTTAGTGTAAGGCAAACACTTGACTACACGTTCTACGAAGAGTCAAGACCTTTGCGGCCATGGACTTCTAATTGCTGTTGGGGAAAGTTACGGGTTTTACAAAGTATTACCTTGAGGCTACAAGAATATGTAAGCTGATTTCCAATTTGAGATCTCCCCACCCCTAAGATATATTTATTTATCGCCTAGATTTACTTTAATCACCAGCATTAAAAAATGATCGGAGCTGCTTCGTATATTTAAGCAAACACTTAATTAATAACCGATTCATCTCGGTCTTGCCATGCTGAAAATCACACTCAACAATGAACACCATTTTAAAATCCAAAATGAAACAAATTGGAATAATTTGTTTGATCAACCGATTCAAGAGTTGTTTGTGTGCACAACTCAATTAATTTCCAAACATTATTCAAGTTCAAGTTTATTAACCTTAAGTTCAAAAGTGCAAACACCAAACAGATTAATAGATTGCGATGCGGTTTTTCATGCTGAAGGTTAAACGATTTCTGTTCTTTGCTTTTGGCGGATTCTTCAAAAGCTTTCAATAGACTGGCGCAATTGTTTGCGGTAATTGGCATAGAAAAGCAGTAATGGCAAAGTTCAGATAGTTCAAACTAACAAGGTCAAGTGGGGTAAAATGCAGTTTAGCTAAGAACAGAAGTGGATCTTAAAAGTTACAATACCCACACTTACCACACCACAAAACACTTGTATTTAATATCCCAAAGACCTCTTAACTTATACAATATTGTTTTTTCGTTGAGTTTACATTCCGTAAGCGTAGTATCATCATATATGGAAGCAAAGCAAATGCATGGGTTGGCTTCCATCTGCAGAAGGGTGGAGAACCAAACGATAAAAACATAAACAAATTAAAATGCTACCATGATTAGCCAGAGTTGCCGCCCCCGCCGCGTGAGGGCATTCGAGCGTGCCCCATGAAGGTTAAGCCAATGGGCTGGGCTTCGCGCTTATTAAATAGCATTAATTGGAACATTGGCGCATTAGTTGGAACCGCGGACCAGCGGGAAGTTGAACATTTTGGAAGGTCAGTGCGCTATGGATCTTACTGCGCTTTTTAGCCACCAGCTGTGCGGCCAATTCTGCACATTCTTTACGATCTGCCAGAAGATTTGCGGCTGAAGAGCAGCTGTCTAAATGTGCATCGTGATTGCTGCATTATAGCTGAAAGTTCAGGGTCAACACCGTGGGCTACACACCTGTGTTTTCCATGCACCCGCCAAGGCAGTTCGCAATTTTTAAGAGCTCGCGTGCGTCTAATTATTAATTTGATGTAATGCATTTGCTTTTCAATGGAAAATCAGTAGAACGCAACGAGTTTCGAATTCAAATTTGGCGGCTATGTGGTGTAAGTCTGGGCTAAGCGCGCTATCCGCACTTTTTGGTATTTCACCAACTGCACACTGTAGCCACACACAACAGCTGGTCAAAACATTTTCGCAACTGCAGTTTTCCATTTTATTAGCTTCAAAATTAGTTGATGAAACTGCGGCTTAATCATGGAGATTCCGGATACGTACTACAGCAAAGACGAATACGTGGAGACGGCAAGTGTTTGCACTGCCCACCGCTTGGCATTTCCTTTTTACCCAAAAAGATGACCTCATCATCATGACCAAAAACCGATTGTTTACAGGCCTCCGGGAACAAAGTCAGTCGCCACACGGTGCTCTGTGGATCGCAAAACATCGTTTTGAATGGCAAGGTGATCGTACAGAGCGGCGCCATCATACGCGGCGATCTGGCCAACGTACGGACGGGTAGATACTGTGTGATTGGCAGGGATTCCGTCATCCGGCCGCCGTACAAACAATTCAGCAAGGGCATCGCCTTCTTCCCCATGCACATCGGTGATCATGTGTTCGTGGGCGAGGGAGCCGTCGTCTCGGCGGCCACCATTGGTTCCTGTGTTTACATTGGCAAGAATGCGATTATCGTAAGATATGCCTATGACTATAGCTTTCACTTTATGCAAACACTTTTCCCATATTTTCCCCTTTTTAGGGACGTCGCTGTGTTTTAAAGGACTGCTGCGTGATTGAGGATGGCGCTGTCCTGCCGCCAGAAACCACTGTGTCCAGCTATATGCGCTACACGGCGAGGGGCACCATCGAGGGTGGGCAGGGCAATCCGTACTTTGTGCCCGCCGCCATGCAGGACGAGATGATCAACTACACAAAGTCATTCTACGAGCATTTCGTGCGTGCTCCAGCACCAGCCAGCTGAAAATCATAGGTATTAATATGGAAGGAATATATGCCCGCTGCTACGCATTTTGTAAATATTATTAACATAAACTAATGCACGCATTCATATTAACAGAAAGCTGCAGTGGTTGCTATCAATTCCATCGAGTTACCACGGAATCATCAGCCCGACAGTAAATATTATTTATGAAATAAACACATTAGGTATTCTATAAGTATGCGCATAGTTTGACTATTAAATGGCTAATCTATCAGTCCCGTTTCGCAGTCGTAGGCTTCATCACCGGCCTCAAAAATGGGGAAACTCATTCCGGTACGGCGGGCGATCACCGAGGCCAGTTCCTCGGAGTTGTTCTCCTTGCGCGGCAGGATGTATCGGTCCAGCAGGAGGACCGTGGCCGTATTCCGGCAATTGGACACAGTGGCGGTTATGTGAAGAGGCGTCTGCTTGCCGTCCGATTCTGCATTTACATCCGCGCCAAACTGCAGCAGCAAATGGGCGCAATCCGCATTGTTCCACTTGCAGGCGGAGTGCAATGGTGTCCAGCCCAGTTCCGTGCGGGCATTGGGATCGGCATGGTACTGCAGTAGCAGCTTGGCGATGTCAACAAAGTTATTATAGGCAGCTCGGTGCAGCGGAGTGTATCCGTCGTTATCCTTGGCATTCACCGTGTCCGCATCCAGTTGCAGGATTTCCCGCACCTCGCTGATGCGGTTCTCATTCACCGCCCAGAGAATCATGCGTTCAATGCTGCCTGCAATAACGAAACAACCATGTACATTCGTTAAATGAAACAACTTATTTTCAATGTAAACTACTTTGTGGGTTCTTGTCCTCCTCGATCAGTTCGTCGGCATCGTCGTCCCAGCCGCTCACGAACATTCCGCGTGGCACTTTAGCGTGCCGCAGCTTCTCCACTTGGGATTCTTCATCGTCGGAGTCGTAATCTCCCATTTTATGGTAATATTTCGATAATTTGCCGCAAATTGGTAAACTTAACTTTTTGTTTTCTATTTTGCAGAGTGACCGTTGCTAAGCCGCTTAAGTATTCTTTTGAAGAAAATACTAAACGAAATATCCATCTATTTAAATATACTGTTGGTATATATAAGAGGTGCATTTTAAAATAGCAGTACATTTGTTTTTTTAATTTAAAAATCATACCATTTAAATTGGTTAAATTTGGACTCATATACTCTGCTACTTTAAAATAATAAGCTAGATTATTTATTATTCACCTATAAATCAAACGAAAAAAATTAAAGATAAAAAGACTACAAGTAAGATAAAGATACAAAATATATAATTTTAAACTACGTCTATCGCGATAGCTAACTGACTTAAATCAATTAATGATATACTCGTATCAACCAATTTAAATACACAAACAGTAATTTAAAAATCATTCCTTTTAAATTGATTACATTTGCACTCATATACTAAAAAATGTCTGTACTTTAAAATAATACGCTACAGTATTTAAAGATTAAAAATAATATTAGGATATTAAATATATATTTGTAAGCTACCTCTATCGCGACAGATAACTAATTTATATCAATTAATGATTTCATTTATTTACAAACATAAGTTAACATTTCAACACATTTTGTTGTTAGCAAGGAACGGTCACACCAACTCCACACACTATACTACTTTAATATTGCAGTCGAAAGAAAAGGCATTCCTCGCAACTTTGTTTACGTTCGCTCAAGTCAAGACGCCATGCCGAATCCGCAGGAAGAACTGCTGCCACCCAGCGCCGAGGACGACGAGCTGACCCTCCCACGGGCCAGCATCAACAAGATCATCAAGGAGCTGGTGCCCACGGTACGGGTGGCCAACGAGAGTCGCGAGCTGATTCTCAACTGCTGCTCGGAGTTCATTCATCTGATCAGTTCGGAGGCGAACGAGGTGTGCAACATGCGCAACAAGAAGACTATCAATGCGGAACACGTGCTGGAGGCGTTGGAACGGTTGGGCTTCCACGACTACAAACAGGAGGCGGAGGCCGTTCTGCACGACTGCAAGGAGGTGGCCGCCAAGCGACGGCGCCAGAGTACGCGCCTGGAGAACCTGGGCATTCCGGAGGAGGAGCTGCTGCGACAGCAGCAAGAGCTGTTCGCCAAGGCACGTGAGGAGCAGGCGCGCGAGGAGCAGCAGCAATGGATGAGCATGCAGGCGGCGGCCATGGTGCAGCGGCCACCGCTGGCCGACGGCTCCGTTGCCAGCAAGCCAAGTGAGGATGATGAGGACGAGGACGACGACGACTACTAGTAGTAGAAAACAGTCTTTCTATGAGCTTAGTGTAGATTTAATCTTAAAATATATGCCATAAGTTGAACGTTCAACTATTAGCCACTCTCCATTACGGATCATCCGTTTGCCCTTAAATCCAGCAACCTAGGCATCGCATTCCCATTCTCCAAAACGACTTCCTTAGAAGTATCGTAAACTTTAATCTTAAAAACAATTCTTTCAGCATTACATCAGCTCGTATCGGCTAGATTTCGTGGCTCCTCCGCCTCATCGTCCAGTTGCTTGGCGTTTAGTTGCATCTCCACCAATCGGGGCAGTGTTTGTGGTGCGTTGTAAGTGCCCGGCACATATTTCCCCAATATCTCGGTGTGTTTTTTCCAGAACTGCGAAGATATCAGATCCTCGTGCAGCGGCACCACGGCCTGTCTGCTCTTCTCACCCAATATCACACGTTTTCTAAGCAGGATCGTTCCCTTTCTGTACATAGCCGGCAGATTGTTGTAGTTTATGCCAAATTCCTGGAACAGCAACTCGTTTTTGTCCGCCGAGAAGGTGCCACGCAGTTTCGCCTCGGCTTGCTGGTTCGTCAGACCTTTTTCCAAAACTAGTTTCCAAAAGGCGGTGTTGTACAGATTGTTGACATGCACATCGGCCTGTCGCCAGCTGAGATAGTCCTTCAGATTCTGCTCCGAAGGATACAGAACCACGCGACCATCGAAACAGGGAGCATATGCCAATGGCAGCTGCATCCACTTGGGCCATTGCATCACATAGCTGGAGGAGAACAAGCTGGTGACGTAGGTGAGCAGTTTGGCAGCTCGTCGCTTGAAGGCTGCCGTCTCTTTGCGAAAAACAAAGGAGTACTCATCACTTTGGCCGTAGGCCAGGACAATATCCCGAAACTCCTGCATCACCGCCGTGGCAGCAGCATTCATCACATTGAGAGCTAAAGCGAATATTTAGTGGGATCATTCATATAGTGTGTGTTTTATTACCATTTTCATCGTTTGGTTTTTCGAAATCGTGCGCCTTGGAGAACTTGTGGAACTTTTTGCCGTCTATTCGTATGACTATCCACACATTGGGCAGTATGCTGTCGTCCAGCTCAAAGGATTTAACGTACTCGAATCTGCTGCAGGCCATGCTGCGTTTTGGAAAATCCCGCCAAAGGGTATAATTCAATAATTTACCAAATTTATTCAAAGTTCCAAGCAACCGCATTTAAAATGTTTATGTTAAGAAAGGCATGAGTTGGTAACAGCTGATTGCTGTTTTCCATTAACAGCACTGTTAACTAGTGCTTGCCTAAAGATGGTACTTTTAGACTTATTACACCTTATCTGTGTGTAATATACGATAAATATACAATAAAGAATATTAACTTTAACTGAACCCAATTAACAGGTGATATAAATTGAAATCCAAAATTTATTTTTTACGAAAAACATGAAAACGCGACGCGCGAAATAACAGCGAGTTCCGATAGCACTCGTCCACCCATTCCTATCTGACCCGATAAATTCGATAGATAACGATAGATAACTGTTCTGTCATCCCGCAAAACAGAAAATTAGAAGAAGTTATGAGCCTTAATTACGAACAAAATGCGGCAGACGAGCAGTTCGCACGTGCACACAAGGCAGTCAGCCTGTCGGACGACGAGGAGAGCGAGGGTCCAGCGGAGTCCACGTCTGCCCGAAATCAGGAGCCGCATTTCAGTAAATCACCCAGGGAGTTCCTCGATGAGCCTGGCGGGAAGGCTGAAGGAAGTGGTGGAGATGACCGGGAGGAGCTGGAAATAGATGCTGCCGTCGGAGCGGCCAACACACATGTGGTGGCACACCACTACAACGAGCTGAAGGAGGCGGGGCGCAAGGATCGTCAGAAGTCCCCCATCTTCTTCTTGCGGAACTTCAACAACTGGATCAAGAGTCAACTGATCAACGAGTACATGTCGCAGATCAAGCAGAACAAACGCATGGGGGATGCTCTCAGAGTTCTGGACATGTGTTGCGGCAAGGGCGGTGACCTCCTCAAATGGGAGAAGGCTGCCATCTCCCACCTCATCTGCACGGACATTGCCGAGGTGTCCGTGGAGCAGTGCCAGCGGCGGTATCAGGACATCTTGCAGCGAGCGGAGAAATCGAAGTTTGCGAATAAGTTCACCGCGGAGTTCTTTGCCTGTGACTCCACATTGGTGCGTCTGCGGGAACGGTACAAGGATCCTTCGCTTCAGCTGAATCTCGTGTCCTGCCAGTTTGCCTTTCACTATTGCTTCGAGTCAATGGCGCAGGCGGATTGCATGATGCGGAATGCAGCCGAGTGTCTGAAACCGGGTGGCTTCTTCATAGCCACAATGCCGGATGCGTACGAGATCATACGGAGGCTTAGGGCAGCCGGTCCGGATGCTCGGCGTTTTGGTAACAATGTGTACAGCATTGAATTTGACTGCGAAACGGATCCTTTGCCCCTGTTTGGAGCCAAGTATCAGTTCCACCTGGAGGGCGTCGTCGATTGTCCCGAATTCCTGGTGCATTTCCCCACGCTGGTCAAGCTGGGTAGGAAATACGGTCTGCAGCTATTGAGGCGCTCCACATTTGCGGATTACTACAAGGAAAGTCTCCCCCACGGTCGACATCTTCTGCAGCGAATGTCCGGCTTGGAGGCGGTGCAGGCGCAGCGCTGCGAGAATGATGAACAGTTCGCCCACGTGCAAAACTTCCAGGGATCACAGCGAGGCCGGACGCTGGGTACCCTTTCAAAATCGGATTGGGAAGCAGCAAGTAAGCTTACTCCGAATCGAATTCTGAATTCAGTTCACTAACTGCTTCTTCATTTCAGCTCTTTATCTGGTTTGTGCCTTCAAGAAATGCAAAAACACGTGGGACACCAATGGCAAACCATTGTTTGAATTTGACGACTGAAAATTGCCAAAAAAAAAAAAAAGTTATAGATTATTTTTCTGTATCCGTGGCTTAGCACTTTTAAAGTTTATACTCGAAAGCATGAGCAGATTATTAATTTCTGAAAGGAATAGCTCGTAAGTTAATTTTTGTAAAACTAAGCTATGTTTGTTTGTGTTCATAGGTTTCAATTTAAACTTTACTGTCCAGTCTAGAAGCTATTTAACAAAGAAAGAGACAATTTTACAATTTCTATATAAATCGAGAATGCCAGGATCAATCATAAAGCTTTTGTATTTCTTAAAACTACAAATTTCCTTTTACTTATGAGTCAGTACCATAGTTAGAAGAAATGTATTTATAAAAATTGTCTGAATACATTTTACACGCATATAAATTCAAAGGTAGGCATTTTAACAGCTTACATAAGCTAATTAGTTGGAGATTAATAAAATAATTTCAATTGAAAAAATTATCAGTCAATTATTGTAAAGATACTAAGGAGCATGTATGTGGGTTATGACTCAAGTTAACTGGTTAACTTCTGAATGGCCCTCGCTTGAGCCGCCTTTCAATCCGCCTATATCGAAAGCTTTGATAAGAGGGCTTTGGCCAAATTCGAAACTGGAAGTGTGATATCGAAGGAAGCTTCGCAGGACGAAGCTCGCTGCCCGAGAGAGGGAGAGAGAGAGAGAGAGCGCACAGCTGTTGCTTTCACAGCGACGGCGCCTTTGAAGGACATCGGGCAAAGGTTAGTCCTGACGTTTACGTTGCCGGGTCGTGCCCGCCAGCGACCCAACCTGTTCAGCTCAGCTCCGGAGCGATTCCAACCAGTCGGTGGCGAAAGGAGAAAGCGTGTCGTGCCAGGCGCTCGATGCATCAATGAATTATTGTAGCTGAAGTGTAAATAAATATTTAATAACGGGCCGACTGTTGGTGGGTGCGATGTTGGCCTGGTTCGGTTTTGGTATGCTGATGTGCGAATGGGGCTGGAGCTGGTGGATGGAGCATGGGGCATGGAGCTTGGGGCTTGGAGAAAATAGCGGCATAAATTACAACATTGATTGGTTTCGAAGCGACTGCAAACTTTATATTGGCCCAATCAGTTAGCTCTTTCTTTCATTATCGCTTGCGGGGCTAAGCACTCTGGCCCGGTCTTCTGTGTGTTTTCCTTGGCCTCGTCTCTGGGCAACTTCTTGTCAGATAATTCCATTATTTAAAGTTTCGCTCATAAAAATCAACTTTGGGTGTAAAGTTTAAATTTGTTTCGCACACACACTGACGCACAACACTGGGTATGTCGAAGGCAGGACAGGCACGTGTACGTGGGTGGATGGGATATGGATGTGGAATGGGCTACTCCGCTTTTGTTTAAAGTAGAGCGTGCGTATTTATAAGGCAAACAACGGAGCCAGGGCTGGTGGCCGAGCTGTTTACGTTTACACACACGGCTTGGCCTGAACCACCTCGGCCCGCCCACCTGGAACGTAGTGAAACTACCTGAACCACCCAACCGTCCGTCAACCCGCCGCTTTTGGCCAGGTCCTCTCCGCATGTCCTTCGCCACGACTCGCTTTGCACTGATTGGCCCTAATGAATCTTTTTGTTACCTTCTCCATGCGGCCGCCTGCGCATTGTACCATGCGGTCTATGTAAATTAGTTCACTTTTAACCCAAACATTGGGGATTGGCAGATATCCCGCCCCCAAGCATCAAATTAACATTTTAAACTTTCATGCAACTCAATTTTAAAAGTTTTGCAGTCTTTAGGAATATGTTGGAGCTCATTGTAGAAAACAAATCAGAGTTCTTCTTAGTCAGAGTTCAGAATTTTAATTTTTGAAGCATTTTATTTGGATAAAGTATAATTTGTTTCTAACACATTATCTAAGGTCTGTAAGATAACAACTTAACAAATTCATTTAGGTTTGTTAGTTATTCAACAAAAATTATTTTTATTTTGACATTAAAGATAATATATCTCATAAGTACATTTGTAATCGGCCTTCGCCTTTTCCAGAAAGCGATTGAAAGTGCTGGAAGCAAACATTATCTTACGATCTAAGTAAGTTTTAAGAGCGTCATTGAACTTAAGTTTTGCAATTGATGTACTTTCCATGCTGTTAAGCATTTTTCTAGCTTTTTGCGCGATAGAAATATCGAATATGCTAGCGTCTGCATTGTTTTGCGCTTTGTAATCGTTGTAGATATTTCTGTATTCGGGATTGCTATTATATTTCCTATTGCATAGGATCATTTTCTTGTAGTTGCAACGGAAACTCGCAAGATACTTGGTCTGGGTCATGGGAGGGAAGCTAGCAACGTACATTTTTTCCCTGATGAACTGTGCAAAGTCGGAACCGTTTCCTAACATTTCCGAGACCTCCACACCGACCGAAATAGCTCTAGCTGTAATAGAGTTTGTGAAACGCGCTCGTTTGTTCTCCACTTCTTCAAGGTAATCGCAGATTTTCATGTTGTCAGCGTTGGTGGCCGATCCTCTGGTTAAAGCCTTTAGCAAAGGATTTATAAAATTACTTGGTAATATTTTGAATGGCGTGACTTACCACAAGAGCCAAAGTCAAAGCAGCTAGTAAGAAATAACGCATTTTGATCTGCAGTTGATGTCGTACTGTAGCTTTCTATGCTGTTTTCTTCGCTTTTTATAGGACTCGACTTCTCCGACGGCTTATAAGAAGGTTTCTTATCAGTGGCGCAAGACGGCGCTTTTATGATTCATCGAATATTCTTGATAATGCAATTCTATTCGTATTTCGATATCTTCGCATTACTTATTATTTTATATATTCAAAGGGAAATGACGTTAAACGACTGCTACTGATTACAAGTAGTCGTTCAATTTTTATTGGTATTAAATTAAATGTTATTTAAGAATATAAAACAGCATTTGTGATACAAAAAAAATTATTGAAATAAAAAAATGGATCTCGGACCTAAAAAGTATGCTACATAATCATATTTCAAATACATAAGAGCCATTTGCGGAACTAATGTGGGACCTTAATACCAATAATTATGTTTATAGTGAAATGTGCCAGCTGATCAAGGGTTAAGGACTCTGCCACAACTGCTGTCCAGGACGAGCTGAGTAATGTGCATACGTGACTGCAATGTGTTCGTGTGGAAGTGTGTCAGTGTGTTGGTGCTGCTGGGCACTGGCAAAGCGCAGGTAGGAAATGTAAGGACCATAGTACGTATACGCAGTGTGTGCAAACAGAAAACATGCCGCAATGTTTGTTTTGTAAGCCTGTCGAGGCAAGCGAGCGAATAAGTGTCTTTGCCTCTCTGCCCTCGCTCTCTTTCTCTCTTCGTCCTATTTGTGCAGATCATAAAATGCACGAGTGTGTGTGCGTGTGCGTGTGTGTGTGTGCTGGTTTGCATGTGTGCGTGCCTTTTGACGGTATGTGCGTCTGTGTGCGCGCCTCTGTTTATTCAACCGCATGAAACAATGTGAAAAACGCATGCCAGGCGTGCGGCAGTGTTGGTAGCTCTGTGTGAATGGCTGCGAGCATGTCTGCGTGCGCCTTCTGCTATGCTAAACTTTTTACAAGGATTGCCCCCGAAGCTGGTTGGCTTGGTTAACGCAACAATTTAACACAAAACCAAAAAGAAGGTAGAGCGAGACAAGAGACGAAAACTTGAGCGCAGGGGGGCAAAAAAAAATAATAATAATAATAAGAGATGTATAAAAAATGAAACGTTCCACACATATTTGTGCATACCGCACATGCATGCATATATACTCGTGCATATGTATGTGCCCAAGGACTTAGCGGCGCCCATTGAAAGGATGTGAAGATGATGAGCTGCAGCTCATCGCTCGGTAATCTTTTGTGGTTCTTTCCTGGCCAAAGAGAAACTTGAACCCTGCTCCTCAATGCCTGAGTGTTGCCACATTCGTTGTGGTAGTCTTGGTACTCCTGGCTCGGTCGGATGCATTTGTGCAGCTACAACAGTGGGGCATCTACATTGCCAAGTTGGGGCCGAATGTTGGCTCAGTAATTACATCTAATTCTATGGCTTGGCAAGGGTTTTTTGCTTAAATTCTATGCAGATTCATTGAATTGAAGTCAATATGAATGGGTAGTCAGGCCGTTACTTCCGCAATCTTATGCCTGCTTAACGAATTGCTTTACAGAGTATATTTCTTTATTTATTTTCCAATAAATAAATATCTATATTTGTTCTCTGTCGTAAGATTGTAAGCATTACTTGGAAATCAATATTAGTGCACATAGGAAAACCCCAAGCCAAATAGGCATTTATTTTATAAACAAGTAACTTGACAAGTACAATCTCCGCAATTAACATTATTACACAGCTCATGTCGATTGCAGAATTTGTTTGAGCTGTGGGGGCAAATGTTTTGAATTACCCATTTAATAATCATTTTAATTTTATGGAACATTTGTAGGGAATTAGCATAATATTAAATACATGACTAAATATTCAAAACAAATTCCCTTTACAATTTATCTGAAAACAAGCAACAATGCAAAACATTTATAATTTTAAGTAATTAAAACGCGAATTTAGAGTGCAGTACTAATCACGACAATCGCTTGTCTGTGCCCAAATAATATTGGAATAAAGCAAATTCATTATCGCAAATCATCAATTTATCAAGGCATTAAAATTGTTTGTGAGTGGATTTGATTTAATTGGTACCGCTACTGCTCTACCTGGCTATAAAATCAATTCAAATATCGAACAATAAATTTTGTAACCTTCAGGCCATAACCCATGCTCTTGCATTCACACATCTGAAAATTATTTAATCCGCTCAGCAGTTTGGGTTACCATTTAATTCACTGGCAGAGTTCAAGACAAGTGCATTTCAGCATGCCTGAATTCCACATGCGGCCATAAATATTTGAGTAATTGATTTCCCCAGACGGCAATGGGAAAACTTTCAATTTCTTGGCTTGACTACTTTTGGGCCAATGCAAATAGTTTATATTCGACCGCAGAATCCTTCGACTTGAGCGGACAATTGAGGTTCTCGAAACTAATTGCACGACTGTCAATGATTTATTCAACTGGCAATTAAGGTGCCAACTAACGGTGTGGCACGGCTATATCGATTTGAAAATATTCAATAATCCCGGAGCCTTGATAAGCTCATCAAACATGCACATGGCCATCCCCATGGGCAGGGGCAAGGGGGGCCAGGTTTGTATTTGGAGCCAGGTGGGGGGTGAGCGGAGTATTTCAGGGTTTCCCTCTTTTTTTCGAACGGCCTGGGGGCTTTCGTGGGGACACAGTGCGAGTACAAGTTGCTATGGATCAAGCTCAAGGCGTGGCAGTTGGGCATTAGCTGTGTAGTGGAGCACGACAACCAAAGCGAACAAAGGTCAACTCGACAAGTGAGTTAAATGACAAGGACCTCACCTTGCCTTCCTTGGGCTTGGGCTTGTGCTTGTGCTTGGGCCCGTGCGTGTTTGCATGTTTGGCTCGATTGAGGCGAGGCGACCCCAAAAATGAAACTCAACTTTGGCTTTGACTGCGGCTCTGGATTGTGGCGTGCAAGCATTATGGCCTTTCGCTTTCAAAACAATGCCCCTCCCGTTGCCCGGTTAGCCTAGTGGCACGTTCTTGTTGTTTTTGCATTGCCCTTGGCCAATTGCGAGTGAATTTTGATGTTTTGACTGGCCATTCCTGGGGGCCATTTGACAACTCTATAAAACCGGTGTCCTTAAGACCGCCCTCGTCCTTCCGCCCAGCCCCCCATTACCACCCAACTTTACAACCCCTCTGCCCCCACGTCCCCCTCTCCCCACCATAAAACCCCCGCTACACCGCCCACAAAGTAACCGTAATTGCCCGGAGAGTTTGGCGACTTTCGACTTGGCCAGCAAACTGAAAAAGCGAAACTTCAAAAAACCCGACTTGACTTGGCAACTGGAAAAGCGGAAGCACGAGCTTTCCCACCAAAAAAAGCTCTCGTGATTTAAGCTTTCGTCCTGGCGAGGCGAAAACGTAAATGTCAGTCATGGAGTTCCAGTCGTCGGATACATGTGGAACACAACGAACACAGCAGGAGCCTCTCGCGTCTCATCCCCCGAATACAATGCGAAAAAGTCTGTACAAAAAATAGACAAATAAAGAGCAGGAGCGAAAACACCATTCTGTGCATAAAATATAACTCCCGGAGAACTGAATACCTGCATAAAAAATCACGCGTTTAATGGAATTACGGTGCGTGAATTGATAACGTCAAGTGTGTTACAGGCTAGAAAGCAAGTGAAATAAAACGAATACATTAATAATTCATGCCCCTCAGTGTCAGAAGTAGCTTACTTACTAGTTTGATAAGGAATTCAACGTAAATCTGATATAATGTAGAAAAGTGGTACAAAGAAATATACAGAGCATATAGCACAGAACATAGAACACAGAACACACCGCAAACTCAAACAAAGTTGACAAAAAAGAAATAAAAAAGCTCACGCCCCTCACGTCTCAGTTTTTTCTCGAATTATTTGTGAAAGTGCAACAAACACACATAAAAAAAAGAAAAGGGAGGAGAGGGAACAGCAAAAAAGGCAGTGACAGCAGGAGCTGCAAAGGAATTGCCAACATTTGGGGATTACGGAATTATCGGGATCCGTTCTCATTAAAATGGATTTAAGGCAATGCCGATGTGCTGAGCTGCATTTGTGCATGGGATTATCGATTGTAATGCGCAGTCATCAAATTATGTTTGAACAACGCCGCCGCAACAGCGATATTAGCAACAACAACATCAACAAACAAATCAACAACAAACACTGAATTGAAAGCCCCTGACCCCCTTTGGCAGCGCCCTCCCCCCTCCATCTAACACCCCCTACGCCCCTGCCCACGCAAAAGGAGCAGCGAAAAAGAAGAAGCGTCTTATGAAACAATTGAAGCACCGGCCAAAGGAGCAAAGGAGCAGACAAAGACAGAGACAAAAACAACGGCAGAGGATAAAGCGGAGACCGAGGAGAAGAGGAAGCAGTAGTAGCAGAGCAGGAAACAACAACAACAACAACCGCAACATCGCATTTTTAAACGGCAATACGCAAAGTAAGTGAAGTGTAAAGTGAGCGAGATGGCAATAGAAAGGTGTAGAGTGCCGCGAAGAGAGGCGGAGAGAATACACTTGAACAAATCAAGCAGACATTTGCATGGGATGTTAAAAAAATAGATTGACAACCCTCATTGCTCAAAGATTCTAGTAGATGGATAGGTGTTTGTATACATATTTAAAGCAATTGAAATCAACATTTTTTGAGAAGTGAAAAAGAAAGTAAAAAATTAAGATGATAAAAGATTGTATGGAAACAACTTAGTGCTGTACTGGTTGACAATTTAATTTAATACTCCTGATTGGTGATCATTTCAATGATCGTACCATAAACTGCTCCCTAGTTAAATTTAAATTTTTAAACATTTTTTCAATGCAAATTTGATATATAAACTCAAATAAATGTACATATACATATATATTCGTTGAGCAGTAAATAATCATAGAAATTACATTTGCTTTTATATCTCTTTTTATCTTGGTTATAGAAAAAACAAGCCGATCATCAACTACGATCACTTGTTTTTGTTCTGTGTAGGGATGAAGAGCAGGTGAGAAGGCAGTGAAGTGAAGTGAAGCATTT